CATTGCTCTGTTGGTGCGTTGACGCTCTTGGAAAATATCACGTTAATTCCATTCGTTTTGATCGACTCCATACTTCATTTTTGTATTTACATTCTTAATCATTACTTTGAAACTACGATGTCTGTCCCGCCTGGTCCAGCTGCTGCCACAGTGGCTTTGAACAATGAAAGAGACCTTTTGAAACGTTTTCATCCGCACATCCCGCATAAACTAGGACCTGCAAACATTGTATGCCGCTTCTGTGGTGCTCTACGATGGCCCGAAGAAAGAACAAAGGTTGAACAAAAGGCAAACTCACGAATCTTTTCGAATTGTTGTAAACAAGGCGATGTAACATTACCGCTGGCTTATTTTGAGGAGGCATTGCTTCCTGAACCGTTAATGAAATTATTCACTGGATCTGATGAAAGTAAGCAAATACATTATCTGTCTTTATAACAAGGCTGACCTCTGCCCTCAGTTGCCACGGAATTTCAGAAGAATATAGCAACATACAATAACATGGTCTCGTTTGCCTCCCTAGGTGCAAACATTGACAACTCGGTGAACGGACAAAAAGGGACTTATTGTTTTCGCGTCAATGAACAACTCAGTCATAATATTCCATCGCTCATTCCCGCAGACGGAAATGAGGCCTCTTTCGCACAAATTTTCATTGCTGGCGATGGCGGAGAGGGGGAGTTAGCTTTAAGGGCCAGTAAATTAGATAATCCCAAGTTTAAAAAGCAAAAGAAACTCCGGAAAGACACCTTACGTCTACTTCAAGACATCATCAATAAAGAAAACCTGTATGCTGTATTTCTTAAAGGTGCAGCTGACGTAATCAACTCGGATGAAACGGCTCGAGTTATCCTGAAGAGTCTCGCACCAGGGAATCGTGAGATGAAAACTTACAATAAGCCGAGGCCTGAGGACGTTGCTGCATTAGTCCGAGGAACCGGAGAAATCGATAAAAGGCCCCGAGATGTATTAGTTAGACACAAAGACGGATTCATGGATCACATCACTGATCTCAATTCAGGCTACATGGGGCTGCGATATCCTCTGATGTTACCATACGGCTCTCAACAATGGGATGGTATGTACGAGTCTCCAACCAAAGGAACAAACCCTAATTGTAAGTTCATGATTACTAGATTCCAAATATCATAATATTGACAGACTTTGTTTGCAGGTAAGAGAGAAAATTATACCGTCTCGGACCTCCAATGGGCTGCGTGGTTGCTTTTTGAAAGAGAAAACAAATTCTCACCTTTCATTCATGGACAACGGTTAACTCAACAATTGATCGTTGACTTTTACCTTTGCGTCGAAAGGAACAATCTCAGATGGGTTAGGCAAAATCAGAAAAAGATTAAGGCTGAGTCTTACCAGGGAATAAAAGAAGGTTTCAACGACCCCGCTGGGACAACGGGAAGGTCTATTATCCTTCCTTCTTCTTTTCATCCTGGTCCTCGGCATATGAGCGAGTTATATCATGATGGAATGGCCTTAGTACGAGAATATGGGACCCCCTCATTATTTATCACCATGACGACTAATCCTGAATGGGAGGAGATAAAAAGTGAACTGAAATATGGGGAAACAGCGCAGGACAGGCCCGATATAGTTGCAAGGGTTTTTCACCTGAAGTTGACAAAACTGTGTGAAGAGCTACTAAAGAAAGACCGGTTGGGGGTTGTAATCTCACATCTCATGGTTGTCGAGTTCCAGAAACGGGGCCTACCACATGCCCATATTCTATGCATTCTTGACGACAAGACCAAACCAAAAACCGCAGACGAAGTTGACGCTTTGGTGACAGCTGTATTACCGGATGAAGTTGAAGAACCCCTGCTTTACAAATTGGTCACAACTCACATGCTTCATGGACCTTGTCAAAAACAGCCATGCTGGGTCGACGGTGCATGCAAGGCGAAATTTCCGAAACAATTCTGTGATGAAACTACAATTTCTGATTCTGGGTTCTACAACTACCGCCGGCCTGATGATGGAAGGACTTTTAAGAACGGCCCAAACAAATTCAGCAACGCCAACGTAGTCTCCTACAATAAATATCTTTTAATGCTATTCCAATGTCATATAAACGTTGAAATTCCATTAGGAACCAAGCCCGTGAGGTACCTTTACAAATATCTAACAAAAGGGCATGATAGGACGCGTATCCAAATAAAAATAAAGGTATGTAATAGCTTTGGTATATAGAAAAGAAGAAGGTTATCTTTACTGACATTTCAACCTCAAAAAGAATCCGAATGGGTCAACATCTGAATGGGATGATGAAATACTTGAGTTTCAAGAATACCAATATATAAGTGCACCAGAATGTGAGTTATGAAGATTCTACCAGTTTACCCTGCGGACTGATGTTGATATTGAACATATTGTAGGTGCATATCGTTTATTTCAATTTGTTATGAACAGTAGAGATCCGTTTGTTGTAAGGCTCAGCTTACATTTGGAAGATTCGCAATTAGTATTTTTCACAGACGAGTCTGAGGTGCAGCGACGACTTAATCTAGGACCTCCGCCGAAATCGACTTTAACTGAATTCTTCCGTTTATGCGCAGAAGACTCAAAAGGATTAGGAAATATGAAAGCACGGGATTTATTCTATGTGGATGTCGTCAAATATTTTCTGTGGAAAAATGGAGGCTTCCTTCCTAGAGAGCAAAAACTTAGGCCAGTCGGTAGAATGTATTTTGCGAATGTTTCCGATGGGGAGAAATATTTTCTCCGCTTATTGTTATGTAATGTGAGAGGGCCGACCTCTTTTGAAGACTTGAGAACGGTTGATGGCGTAGTCTATAAAACATTCCGCAAGGCAGCCGACAAACTGGGATTGCTCGAATCCGATATCCATCATGAAACGGCGATGTCGGAGGCGTCACTTTGGTCATCGGCTTCACAAATGAGAAACCTATTTGCTTTAATATTGGTTTATGGAGTGGTGGCTTCGCCAGATGCTTTATGGGATAAGTTCAAAACTTTTTTTCCCGAAGACGTTGAGAATCAATTGCAGCAGTATGGATGTCAAACGGAGATAGTGGATGAAATCAAATACGTGTACGGCTTTGCTTTACTGGATAACGTGCTGAACGACATGGGGAAAGACGCGGAATCCATTGGATTTAGAACAACTTTACTCGAGTATTTAGATCACGAGATTGTCACATCTTTTCAACCCAATGCTTTTGATTTGGGGCGCGGCCTATCATCTTTAGCGGCATATGAGGAAAGATTGCCTTCACTCAACACTGAACAGGCGGAACTGGTGAACTATGTGACACAAGCGCACGAAGAGTCTCGACAGATTCTATGTTTTCTTGATGGTCCCGGTGGTACGGGTAAAACCTACACTCTCAATACGATCCTACATTATTTTTATTCAAAAAATTTACTACCGCTTGCAGTCGCCTCCTCTGGGGTTGCCGCAATTCTATTGTTGAACGGAAGGACTGCACACTCAGCTTTCAACATACCACTCAAGGTTGATCATGAAAGTACATGTGATCTCACTGGAAGAGACGCTAGAAGCAAATCGATCCTTCGAGCACCGTTGATAATCTGGGATGAAATTGCAATGCAGCATAAGCATGCTATTGAAGCAGTAAATCGTAGTCTGCAGCATATGTGTCGGTCTAATGCCCCATTCGGAGGCTTAAGCGTAGTTTTCGCCGGGGATTTTAGACAAACGTTGCCTATTGTACCTCATGCATCAATTTGGTCCCAGCGCAGTGCATGTTTTAAAACCTCTTTCTTGTGGAACGGTCTCCGACAATTTACCTTAAAAGAAAACTTGCGGTTGCGGGTTCAGACTGGACAACAAGGAGATCAAACTCGACGGTTCGCAAAGTATTTACTAGATTTAGGGGAAGGGAAGCTTCAGTCTAAAGATACACAGGTAATACCGCTCGAGTACGTTGAGTGCGAATTGTTACCTAAGTTCGCCATGTCAGCGCCTAACTTAGTACGCTGGTTGTATGAAGATATTAAAACATTTAACTCTGCGACTGGTTGGAGAAAAATGGCTGAGTATTACTCAGGACGATTGTTAATCACACCCTTAAACTCAACAGTAAACAAGATGAATAGCGCAATATTGGAACAATTAAGTGACAACAAATTGGTGTCAATCTCATCAGATGAAATGAACGAGGATTATTGCGATCCTGTGGCTACGGAATGTCTCAATGACATCGATTTCCCAGGTTTTCCGGACCATAAGATTTATATTAAGATTGGACAGCCCATCATGGTGTTGCAAAACTTGCAGCTGAGCGTTGGGCTCTGCAACGGGACTAGGCTGATTGTGATGGAAAAAGGCAAATATGTTCTTCGATGCATGATAATGACTGGACCAAATTATGGTGAAGAGGTTGCCATTCCACGAATGAAATTTGTTCATTCTGGTGATTTAGACCATCCAATTCCGTTTTCAAGAATTCAATTTCCGATAACATCCGCGTTTACTTTGACAATCAACAAAGCTCAAGGTCAAAGTCTTGAAAGAGTTGGTATATACCTCAGTGCACCAGTATTTGCCCACAGTCAATTGTACGTAGGACTGTCGAGGTGTACGTCATTTGAGAATGTCCGCATTGCCTTGGTGTCGAGAACTGGGGAAAAGGCAACGACTAACGTGGTATTTCGCTCATTGTTGGCTCAAAGGTTAGTAATTTCGATTTGAATTTCGCATCGACGTAGTCTGATTTTGCAGTCTTCAGATTGTGTGAATAGAGGACGCAAGATTGAAATGTGCACATTGATCTTATTAATTCAACGGAGATCCAGGTGCAGTGGGTGTTGGATGAAGTGCAATGACAGCGACATTCACAGTACAAATTTCAACAAAGGAAGGAGGTTGTGTTAAATTGACATAATACAATGACTCTGTGATAAAGAAATGAGCGTAGATATAAAGAAATTTGATATTCATCCTGCACATTTACTTTCATTATGTGCTCCATGTCCATTTACAATTGTCCAATTGCGCTTATCTACCAAAGACAACATTTGAAGTCACTGTAAGTGACCTTTTCCATATACTATGTGAGAAGATTGCACATACCTCTACTTGCCACATGTAATCTACTTCATTTTTTCCTATAATGAAACCAATAATGAATATTTCATGCCCGATCAAGTTCCAATGGTCGGGGATGATGATAGAACTTGATGCGCTGCATACATATTTTACATCGAATGATACCAGGCGTTCGGACTGAGAAAAACATCAGTACATGTATTGTGTTGGTTGCATGAACATTTTTGCACTCACAACGTAATCATAATTGTCGTGTGTTACGACGAGGCATACTGCACCTTGAAACTGAGCACTTGATGTTGATACTGATTTGACTAGACCCACGCTTTGAACGGAGACCTGGTTGGTGAAAACTGAGGATGAGTCGTCTGAAACGCGCGAGATGAGCTGATAATCAGGCTCATAAAACAGCCGAGGTGTGCATGAATTATTGAGGAATATTAAGCGTCCACTGATTACGTAGATTCCGTCTACAGAAACAGCGTCAAACGCCAGGTCTGCGGGATAACCCTTGATGACGTGAAGTACATTTTCGCCGTCTTGGTTTTCAATGCTGATGGTAGAGTGGAATTGTTTGGTCCAAGAAGGAGGTAATGGTCGCAAATGGCCCTGCAAGAGAATTAATATAAGCATATGGTAGAAAATTAGTAAGAGGAAAGCGCACATCAGCAAGAATTTCGAATTTGCAGCTTATTGTGAATTGGCGGCCATCAACAAAAGCAGGAATGTCGATGTACATGTTGGGAGGGTTGTGACTGGGGAGCCTGGAAAGTAATATATGACCGAAGGTACTTGGCCGTGTGGAGTGTGAAAGGTTGGGGGTAATTTGGAAAGATGGATGAGATTTAGTATGGAGATGTCATGTCGAGAACGCGTATGAGGTATTGCATATAAAAGGGTTAGAATATAAGAGACAGACAGGGGCTAAGAAATAATGAATTATGAAATGTGTTAGACTCGGGAAAATGTGTTCGCCGCGTAACTCGAACAAAAAAGGTAAAAGATCACTATCGAATGACTTAATTTAGGCATCCTACGGAATGCACCTATAGTCCTTCCTGGGAACTGTCTCCTTGGTTGAGGTTGATTCACTGTAGGGGTTGTGGACCTAACTATAGTTAGATGTGTTGCTGTAATAGGTTAGCCTTACTTGGACAAAATGAGACTGCTGAACAGTGAACACAATGGTATGGAATTAGTAACTAGAATCAACGGATCGAAGACACTGACCGAGATTAGTTCTCAAATAGCATGATTGTTTAACCAACGTGTTTATCACGATGAGAAGAGGAATAATTTTGATTAGGCTTTGGCTTCAATGGCTACCCGCCGATAATCGATACGAAGATGGAAAGTAAAAGTCCACTGGGTAACTGGGTATACAACTTTAAGTACTATTTCCGTCTTAGTCATTGATATCTATTGTTTGACTTATTCTGGTGGAAACGTGGAAAAGGAATTTGACATTCACTCATAAAACTCGCGAAGTATACTTCAACGGAAGATTGGGGGAAAAAATTTATAACTGAATTGACTATTGAATCATTATTCACTTACAATCATCAACTTACCATTAAACATATATCTCTGCGACACACACTATCGTAAAATTACACCTGCCCTTATCGTATCAATCACCCGGAGGATGGAACTGTACCAACATGCATTTGTTTACGGACACGGTTTAGTACGTTGGACAAATTTGAGTGGAAAAATGCTCGGAGTTAAAGAGTGGATGATAGCCCAATTGATCGTGGCTTATCTTGAAGGTAAATGTGTTTATTGTATACTAATTTCGCCACGCTAACAAATATTTTTGCAGAATCTGCAGCAGAACCCAATCCGAAACATCGAATCAAAGAATTGTACCTTGAAGATTGGGTGATAAGGAGGAACGTGACAATATACATTCCTTGGCATGGAGAGCCAGAAATCATGATTCATGAGTTCGAAAATTAGCATTTCAGATGAAGTAATCAAGATTGGGGTTGGTGAATTGGCGTCTTGTATGATTGTGAATATGGGTTGTGTCAATATTTATAAGAATGATCGGCGGGAGGGATCTTGTTTCTTTAAACTTCAGCTGTATTGTACACGACAAAGACTACAGTTTAGCTCCATGTGGAATTGCATATGACCGTTGCGCGGACTTGAAATCAAATTAAGCAAGCGCAATCAATAATACATTATTAGACAAAGTATCTGAATGGGCTGTACGGAGGCTTGAATCTCGGAGCGGGCTTGCCCGCGTAAGCTCTAGTTATCATATAATCTACAATTATTTTGACTTCGAGCAGATTTTATATGTTCATCAAGAACAGGTTTTAATATAATACAGTAGAGCATTAAGGAATCGTCTCATTTGAAACATGTAAAATTGGTTTAATCCAGGAATGATGAACCTGTCCGTTTGCGAAGGTAGGTTGGTTATGAAATGTCTGAACTAGAGATACAGAAGAGATATGAGTTTGTATCCATGAGTTAACATCTTCAAAAGTTATTCCCGTCGAAAGATTTGATCGGTGATCTGTATCTGTTAACATTATATTCCGATGTATAGGCAATGGAAAATTTCCTTTATCGATTTCTCACTTTTCTACTTGCCATCCTTCGACTTCAAGTTGGTGGAGATTCCACTGAGTAATCATCTAATATCAGCCTTTGCCAAACGTACTTGATTGAGAAAAAGTATCACTTACAACTATTGGTTATCAGAATGAAATATTGCATCAAACAAGCAAAAAAAGGTTCAGAATGATCAAGTTTGTTTCACATGCATTCTTAACACAATATGGAACAAAAACACTCACCGCTGCATTCCAGTCATCTGCAGCCTTTCCATCCTTCTTGACCGGTCCTATAGCTTTGGACACGTCTTTACAGCTTTTGAATACTTTTTGCACCTCGTCTTCTTTCTTGTTGGCCCCTTTGAGACATGCAAGAATCTTGTCACACATTGCTAGAGAAGGAATTTTTCAAAATCATTAATCAATAAGGGCAGTCTTAGTTTTATCTTATGATTATTTGTGATCTTGAGTAAATTATAAGTAGAAAAAGGAGAAACTTACCATCGGTTATAATTTGAAAATCTTTTCCAGTACAATGTGACCAGGGCGTTAGCGGACGATTTATGCACACGCAATAAAGAAACTCGCTTTTTGGTCCAGACTTACTCAATGCTGTCCCATGGGCATAAAATGTTTTGTCTACTGGCTCATAGCTCATTTCGGTAGCCTTTCTGCCCCCGAGACCACCGTCATATCGAACCTCGGGCTTATTGCACTTCTCAGGGAGTGTGGAAGCATCAACAACCTTTCCCTTTGAGGCGTCTACAGCTCCTTTCTTCCCCCCCTGATCGGAATTGTCTGTCTTGGGACTATTATTATCTTTATTTGAATCCGTGGTGGTAGGCGTCGAATCCGACAATAGTTGTAGCGTAGATGTAGTTGTATTAATAGGTTCAGTCACTGTAGTGGATGTAGTCGAATTAGCAGGTTCAGTCGTTGTAGTGGACGTAGTCGTATTAGCAGGTGCAGTCACTGTAGTGGATGAAGTCGCATTTGCAGGTGCGGTCACTGCAGTGGATGAAGTCGCATTTGCAGGTGCGGTCACTGCAGTGGATGCATTCTGTGTTTGTGTTGTTGATCCACCAGGCTGTTTCTGGCGCGGAAATGTTTCGGGTCTGGAACCCAGAGCCACACTTCCTACCTTGGGATCAAAAAATACATTCGGATCATTGCCCTCAAATTGTTTAGGAATACAATCATCCAATTCATGATTGACCGGAGCCTTTAGACAATACAAGAAATTTCTTTGTGTTTGGGGATTCTTTGAATAATCGGGGTGAGTATTTTTCTCCGACTGATGCCGTGTAGCAGTTTATCATTGCCGTCGAATCATTCAAATTGTAAGATGTGGCCAATAAAAACATAAGACCTTCAGTCACATACATTTAACCTTGAAATCACTGAAACAAATCATCAACTAACCTCACAGATGAGTTTTGCCCATGCAATCAACTGCACACGCAATTTATCGTCTTTGACCAAAGGATTCGTCTGTGGTTGGCAATACCACACCTATCAGCATGTCACATAACTCCAGGCAAGTCATGAATTAACACCAACCTTGGCGTCCGTTATAAGTTGATCGGCTATATCCTGCCGCGCGCAGGGGGCTGCTGCAGCTAGTCGGGCGCCTATCACTTTTCCAGCTGTGAAGGTACATCTTTCTTAGCTTGGATGTCTAATGAAGCTCACAAAGTATCAGAAAACGAGTTGGGAGGAAAAAATTCATACCGACTGTGGCACAGATTCGTCCGTCACAAGGTTCAGTTACTGGCATCTTTAAATTGAGCTCCTGGTTCATTCGCCGGCGAGTGAGTCTGACCAAGCTTCTGTGAGCATCGTGTTGATTAGAATACCTTTGAGCGATGTTTTCGAGACTCACTGGTGATAGTTCCCATCCAGACTCTTAGCTTGGGTGGGAGTAAGCTTCTCGATGCTAAGCAGTAGCAAAATCGACATCAAGGATTTCATTAAAACAAACATAACTGATTGTATGCTAAGTGGTCCTTAAAAGCGCCTGAAGTGATGAATTAGTTATTACAGAAGAGATCGAAGGGGTAGTATTACTCTGGATATCTTGGTAGAAGGTTTGCAGTGAAAGGGACACGGACGAGGACAACAGGGAAGCAAAATCTCGCATACGCAGACCTTTTATGAAGAGCCTAAGGATTGAAATGCTATCACGCCTCGGAATCCCTGGTTCGACGATCTCATCTCGGTGGGTAACTCCCAAGCCAATGGGTCTTGCAGCGTTGATATTGTAATCGACCGAGCCTCAGGGGGTTTGTTGCTCGAAAGACATCCCATCACTAGATCACCGAGGCTGAATGAACACTCATACGAAAGCACTATGATCTAATTCACCTGGGATACTGAGGCCGGAATTTGAGAAGTGATCGACCATTGCAATAGTTCGAGGCATGACCTTTGTGATATTTGGCATTGCCCTCCGGCGGTCGCCAGGACACTACACAAACCGGGGAGTAGTGAAGGGTTGGGCGGTATCTAGCATTCGGAGGCTGCCCAAACACCGATAGCGACTCTGAAGTCTAGTACAGTCGTTTTCAATAAGCTTGCCACATATTCACTGCTAAATTGCTCAAGTTTTGCGGGCCAATTTGGACAAGCTTTTTGAAAACGACTGTACATACATAGTCCACGCTCATCGAATGGCTGGAATTTGCAACATCAGAAATCATGCCTGTGTGAATCGAGAGATGTGTGACGCCGCCTCGCCTGTTGCCAACGAGATAGCAATTTGTTATAGTTTACCTCGTATCTAGAGTCTCTTGCTCGGGTTCTTGGTAGGTATGTATGCCCAAAAAGCGATGCAAAACTATACATTATCCCTGCCATGGAAATCTAACCGGATTTGATTCATGTTTGAAAGACACACGTGATAAAAGAAGTGTTCTTATATTGATTTGATGTCTTTCAATTCTAGGTCATTTCCTGCCAGCTTGATACGCACCCCAGGCGTAGAGCCCATCTCGGATGCATCGCTTAAGTTCAAGGAATGTGGCACCCGGAGTATTGATCCAACGGATTGCGCGGCCCCACAGAAATCCCTGAATTGACTTCTTGGGGGTTATTTGTCTGGCGGTGAGATATACTCTAGATAAAGGGAGCGATATATCTTGAGCGATCAAGGATACGAAATCTACAATTAAGAAACATTATAAAGATCATTCGGAATTTTCTCAGTCCCTTGTCAATAATTGTGTGAACTCCAGTAAAAGCCTTGGAGAGTCATTCTTTGTAAGATCAGTTTGTATGAATGAAAGAAGCAATTCCAGCTTTATGACGACCCTGTAAAACCAGATATGCTCCATTTCTTTTGCAAAAAGTTTCAAGATCTATAGAAGGCAGGTGTGTTGAATTCAGTGCCCATTACAAAACTGTCATAAGCTTTGATCCACACTACAAAATTCCCATTTTGTAGTCAAGCTATATTCCTCACAATGGCTGAAATCCTCAGGTTCTCGTTGTAAAGGGCTGTCTTTCCGCTGGTAGAGGAAGATGGACTCCCATCTTGAGGCTCCCCTGGTCAATCTCATCATACTACTTTAAATTATGGCCAATACCAATGGATTCGAATCTCACTCACAATATCAACCAAGTTACCAACCAAATATGCAAATTCTCCATCTTGTTACATTGTTGGGACTACTGGTGAGCTCTTGTTGACCCTGTTTACCACTTTAACCTTCAGATCCTGAACCTTACACTCTTCCTCTTGACAGCGCTACATGAGGATCCTTGTCATGATCAACATCCTTCTTCGAGTATTATCTCAGAGTGTTTCTATTTATCAGATTTCTTATCCCGCTCTGATTTACAGTGATATTCATACATGGTCAAATTGATCGTTGAAAGAAATCAAAGAAAGCTATTGACTAAGTATCAATATTAGGACTATCAGGTGGAGTATGAGTAGATGAAGGTCGAAGTCCATAACACCTTTGATGTTCAATCCTCATAGCTTCCCAGTCCATACTCTCTAATCCAGCCTCACCTGTATCCTCGGCATTCGCAGAGATCATTTGATCACATTCCAATTGAATACTCAAGTCACATTCTTTATAAGATAGATTATACGAAGAAGGATTATGTCGATTGAGAGTAGTAGGACGTGATGAAGAAAATTGTGCAGGTGAACGAATAGGAGATCGATCATCTTCTGGACTCGTAGTTGAACTTGTGGATGAACTAGCTAAATGTGATCGATGAGCTGGAGAACATGGTTTTTCATTCGTAAGAATTCTTTTATCCGACGCAGAAGCTCTGAGAGAAGTATAAAGAAGTGTAGCAAGTCGATGAGTTGGATAACTAGAATATGGCTTGTTACTTGGACCTGGTCGTATAGATAATGAACTGGTAGGAGGGATGGGTAACACCCAAATTCGCTCTCGAAGACGTTTGTGCTACATCAAGATCCGGTGGAGGGGCATTAGGCGAATTAGAATGAAATCACATCATCTTAGGATCTCCGATGGGTCAAAGCAACTTACGCGTTCTCGATCATCATCTATCCGGTCAAGTATATCTCGCTTCGAAAAATCTAGAAAATCGTTATCCAAATGTCTCGTATCAACAGGCGCATTAGCCAATCTAAGAAACCAAAGATTATAATCAGCATATATGATCATAGAAGACAAATTGAAACCGAATCAATTCAAATCTGATCAAAAGTGTTGTTTTCCTTACATTGTTTTACGTTCTGAAAGCAAATTTTCAATCTCTTCAATCTCATCTAAATTAATAAACTTATTGATTAAATTAATTTGATTTTTCCAATTTTTCAAAACTTGTTGTGTACTCATTAAATTCAATAAACCTTTTTTTTGAAATTCAATGGGTACAATCAATTCAATCAATCTTTTTAAATCTTTTTTAATCATTTGACCATAATTATTTAAATGATCTTGATTTAAAGGATTTGATGACGGATTTGATTTCATGGTTTTTGTTTCTTGATGTTTTGGATTTGAGTTATTTGTTGTTGTATGAGAACTAGAATAAGTTGATGAAGTGGTTATGAGAAGAGAGTCCACGAGGTAAAGGATATTAATCCTTGCATTGAGACTAGCCTACGTTCAATGAAGCAGAAATGTTAGTTCATCATGAATTCACTTTCACTGTTGTTCACATCTTGTCATCCAAAACAATTTGGATTAGATAAAACTTACATTTTGACATTCTTCCATCAAACAATCCCAAAGGTCCTCACCGCATTTTGATCGATGTTTAAGTAAGAATCGAATGGTGGTTTGAATCGAATTTTGTGATGATGAAAGTTTTCTGAGAATAGAAACCAATTGAAGTCTTACTTCGAATCCGTCCATTTATGTATTTCCTGAAGCCTTCGATAGAGATGAAGTTGTTGAGGACAGGTGTGGCAACGTGATTGAAGGTCTCGCTTGGTGATGCTATCGTGGTTGCTCAAACTTTCGTAACCCAGAGTGCAACATGACCCGCGACCCCGGACCCGGGGCTGAATGCGAGCCACAGTGCCCGGAGGGTACCGGATAAATCTACAGCCACTAAGATCCAAGGCAACCCTGGATGTATCATTTCAACAGGAGTGGTCAAATCATGCAGGGGCTTTCTTTGTGTCATTGGATATCTTCTCAACATCTGGTTGTCATTTTTTCTTTATGAAATCCTCATCCACACATTACTATAAGCCTGAAAATCTTATTGTTACAAGACTCTTGACCAGTTCAATATTCTGATGAATATTTTGTTGCTCAATAGTAATATGGTGGGTAGTGCCTAAACGCGTGAAATCGTTAGCTTAACAAAGCCCTCTCTGCGCGGCCGCGTCCGCGCCCTCGCAGAGGGGCTTAGGACTAATTGTCGATTTTTGGCTTGAGCACTACACTCCTTAAGTGTCTCTAAGGAGTTTTTCGGGTTTTCACGCTTCCCTCACAAACAAACTTCACCTGACTCCGCAGGGAAAGTTGTTCTGATAAAAATTCTACATAATCTCGTAGTCTAGCATCATGGCCAGTGTGAACGGTGTGGCCAAAAAAGGAGGTTGATGATTCTTACAAAACACCTGTAGCAATGAGCCAAAAATCGGGTACGGTGCAAATTCACCCTGTATGCCCCTTTACAAGTGAGACATAAGGCTTGAAAATTCCCTCAAGAACAGCATGGTGGGGTAGTGTTTCTCTCGTGATAACAAGATATACACATGTAGAAAATGATCATGAACAACTTTCCCAGCAGGGCCAAGTGAGGTTGGTTTGTGAGGGAAGCGTAAAAATTCAAAAAACTCCTTAGAGACACTTAAGGAGTGTAGTGCTCAAGCCAAAAATCAACGATTAGTCCTAAGCCCCTCTGCGAGGGCGCGGACGCGGCCGCGCAGAGAGGGCTTTGTTAAGCTAAGTGAAATCGGGTGTTTTGAGAAAAAAGTTCATGAAGCCCATAAAATTGATCTAATTTTGAAGCCGAGGGCAGATTTGGAATCCTCACATCGATAGGAATCCAAAATTGTATTGAACATGTTGTTTTTAACAATTTTTACAGTAGAGAAAGTTCTTTTCATCCAATGGAGTTTTTGATAAATCAGCTTTTTGGCCGTACTAACCGGCCCGACATTACACGCTTTTAGACACTACCCACTATATGGTGGACATCAATCTCACATGAATGCATTTCTTCCCCCAGACAAGAAAGGTCACAGGAGAGTATTGGCTCAAATCACATACTGAATACTAGTGATCTGTATACAATGCTGATATATGTGAGAGGAAAGCTCCATTGGAATATGTGTGCTAAAGCGTCTCTCATTATGTAGAACTGAATGGAGACTACAGGTCTATAATTGAGGGCAAGAGGCTAATGCAATTCAAGATGATGTTTTCAGACATTCAAAGCTTTTAAAAAGAATGCAGTTCTTCAAGATGATGATCTTTGAAAGAATCTTCATAATTAAATCTTGATAGATATTATAATGAGTTCCCTGTAGTGTTATCTTGTAACTATGATCCATTGATGAGTGGATATGATGATTTTTTAAGCAATTGATACAACTTGCTTTTCAACAGCAAGCACCAAGAAGAAAATGCAACACATTTTTCAACAGGAATTTCTTGTAAGTTCAATGCTACTTGTAATGACTCCAGAGAAAGACTTTGTAGCTGATATAAAGGAACACTTGATAGAATAAACACTGAGCAGACAGGTAGTAATAAGGCGCAAAGTGTTGTTGGTCAACTCAGACTTGGGAAACGCTGAACAGGGCTTTGAGGGCAAGTTTCAAGTTGATTTACCAGTTTGGTGTTTTGACTCATTTGGCACTCTACAGCCACCATAAGAAGAAGATGAATTCAATTTGTAAAATCATTCCAAGTTTCAATCTTTTTACATTTTGAATCATTACATTTGCAACCAATTTTCATGTCATTGGTGTCCAATGGTTAACTTGAATCCTTAAAACCAAGTACTTACACATTTTCAAATCAAGAACTCCAAAAATCTTTGAAATCCAATGAAGCAAAAGCCCATGATAGAAGATTTCCTCAAATTAAGAAAAACAATCATACATTTCCAATAGATTAAATCTATAAATAATCATACAATTAAAGAAAAAATTACATACAAAATACTTCTTACTACATCATAGAAATACAAAATGAAAAATGACCAACTCGAAAACTTTGAGAAAATCCAAAATTACATATATATCTGTTTTCTTCTCCTTTTTTGATACATAAATCGGTTGACTGCTTTATAGAAAAAAAATAAAGAAATGATTTTTGATGAAAGAAAAAATGGAATGAATGGAATGAAAAACAGATTAAAAGAATGAAAATCAAAGAAAAGAAAAATGCAAAAATGCAAAAAAGAAACAAAAAAAAACACTTTATAAACCAAAAGAAAGAAGAAAAAAAAACATCAAAAAAGTTTTCTCAAGTAATCAAATCAAATTCCGATGAACCTTAAAAATCCTACGAAAAAGTCGATAAAGAAGTTCTCGAAACTTAAAATGATTTTTATTTTTAAACAGAATCAATAAAATCAATAAAATCCATTTAAGATTAAAGAAAGATTGATTTTTAGAAAAAAAGATTAAATTTAAAATCCATTTAAGATTTCGTTGGATTTGAAATACTTCATAAACTTTTAATTTGATTAGATCTCGTTTTCTTCTTTTATTCATGATCGGTTTATTGATCGGTTCATCATTGATTTGTGAATGAATGGATAAAAGATCTATAAGAAGAAAAATCAGGATTAGCCAAAAACAAAACAGACGTATTATTTTGAAAGGAATATATGATTACCTGATGGTGATATGGTGTGGTCTACAATTGAAGATGTTGAACCAATCTTAATGAGCCATTGTCCTTTTGGTTTGTAATCCTTATGATCAGTTTTAGTTGAACTATTCCAAGAAGTCGAGTGGTCAGGTAAAGAAATCGAGATTTGCATAGGTGGACTCTGATCATCAGCTTCTTGATCTTCTTCTTCCTCATCAGGTACAACAGTAGCTGAACAATCCGAATTGGTAGGTGTAAGTTCTTCTGTTTCAGCAGTCAATTTCCTACTAGGAAGGTGAAGTCTAAAATCCCTTAATGGGTTTGTAGACCGAAGTAATGGTGCTTCATTCCATTCTTCCCTTTGAACTTTTTTCAAAAGGTTTTCACGTATAGCTTCTCCAAACTTGGAGACCGAGAGTGAATGATGCCGTTGATGATTGCCAACAGGTGTATGATGTCCTGTATGGACGGTGGTCATACTTAACCAATTTGGACGAGCATGAGCTCTTGGCGGGGTTCCCGGATATGATGTTGCCCAAGGTGTAGTAGGAGCTGAGAAGAAGAGATCTCGCAAAGATTCTAGACTAGATCGTCGGGATAAGCTAGGTGACAATGCAGAGATGGGAATTATGTTCGGAGTGGATTGGTCGTCAAGTTCTGCTGGTTCTTCTGTAGGCAAGGTAGTGTTGATGGGTGGCGCTGTAGTAGTGGTGGTGGTGGTAACAGAAGGTGGTTTCCCATATAGATTAATGATTGGATTATTGAGATGATGGTATTGATATTCGAGTTTTCCGCCGTGTTGGGTTAATAAATTGGAAGGATTGAAGAACTTCAACAACTCTTTTTGATTTGGAAACATGATCCGATCAAGTGTAGATTGAGGTAAAACTCTTTTGGCTACTTGCCACATTCCTGAGTACATCCAACCGTAGTTGAGGACAAAGATGGCTCCCACCATTCCTGGAAAATTATTCTTGAGTAGATCCATGAAATATGGGAGTAATTCGAGTTCCTATACTTCAAGAATCGAGTTAGTAAGATGATATCAGGAGAGTTTCGAATAAGGGAAAAAACTGACCAGATTGTTGAGAGAGGCATCCTTGAGATCAACAATAATAACCATTTGAAGCTGAATTGGAACTGACTCGGTATCAGAGTTCGGGTTTAGATTATCGGATTGAGAAAGGAGAGTGTTGAGTGAATCTGAATTAGAGTCTTGCATGTACCGACGACCAAGTTCCCAGGACCAAGCAATGAATTCCTTCAAACCATCCAAAGTTCCATCCTCAGTCCGACTAACGTGTTTAAGATTGAGTACACCACAAGGCCTATTCCATTTATCCTTGAGTTGAGGGTGAAAGTAGAATAAAGGTTGATGAAGGTAAAATGGATCGATTGAAGATGATGAAAGTAAATCGATTTGAGAATCAAGTCTCCATTGTAATGTATTTGAAAGAAGTTTCAAAGTGTTTTCGATATCAAACTTTTCTCTCTTTAAAAATCGATATAAATTGAGTTTATCATCTAAGAAATGTGAAAGGATTTGAATAGCTTGATTTGAAAGTTGAAGTGAATTTGAATGATTGAATGATTTTAAAACTTCATGATGAGAACGTTGTTGAAGTTGGTTTAAAGTGATCAGATGTGATTTGAATGTTTGGATAGATTGATTGAATCGATTCTCAACTGAATCGATTGATGACATGGTTTGATGATGATGATGATGATGATATAAGTTGTGATATGAGTGATGAAGTTGAAGTTGGTTTAGGAATCAAATTGAATTTATTAAAAAGTCAAGGTTGAGGTTGAGGTTGAAGTTGAGGTTCAGAGGGACAAAGAATGGATGAACTGACTGCCTATACATTTTAATTTTAATTTGGTTTGTTGACCAAATTTTCAAACTTGTTGAAATCTGTTTCAAATGCACGTGAAAAAACTTCAAACTTAAAATTATGCGGATCCACAAAAACCAGAAAAAAACTTCAAGCTCCGATCCGACTACCAAATACAGCCTACATAGCTTTATTGTCTAAAAATTTACAAATTCAACTTTCAGCCATTTCCAGCCCTGTCTGAGTTCTAGCCTGCATTTCCAAGACTTCATACTTTCCAACCGAAAATGTACTCGGTCGACTCAGACCAATCATATTCATTCCAGCCAAGAACACTTCAAGTCAGGACCCAATCGATCGTGTCCAAACTAACTACATGATTCAGCCAATCCCCTTTATCACATCAATCGGTCAATAATGGACATGGTCTAGGTCGTCAATAGTCAATCGATCATCATACCTCAGACGGAGTTATGGTTATTTAGGAGTCGAACTCAAATGATCGTTCTATTTCCAAAATCGCCGGTCCAAAACCCAATTCAAGATGATTCTCAAGTTACTTGAGATTACTCAGCGATTCAAATCAAATTGTAGCCAGTCTCAAAAGGGCCCGGAATGCCCCTATAAAGGCAAATCTATCGTATGATGTAGCTTTACCTCCGGCGCTACGCGAGTAGGACTTACAAGATAAGTTTTGCTAAAAGGGTACGGCCCTTTGCAGAATTGATGACTTCGAAAAAAAAACAGAAAACGCCTGAGTTTTCAAAAAGAACCTATAGTGCTCAACACCAAGACTGGCATAGCGCCGGGTATTTTTTCAACAGCTTATAACGGGGCCAATTTTTCACTTTTTGGGGTTCTGATTGAAGTTTCAAAATGGGATGATCGGCAGCTATCCAAAATTGATTGGAATTTTTCATAGGATTGGATCTCAAAAACCGTGAAAGATTGCCAATGGCCAACTTTTTCATTTCCAACAAATTTAGATCAAAAAATATGTACACTGATACACCACTGAAGGGTTCTCACGTGATTTTCACGCGGAATCCTATGGCAGTGGGACTCCGCGTGACATGTACGAGTGCAGTAAATACGTCTCGAAGACGCATTTACACCCCGTCTCGCCAATGTGAGCACGAATGTCTTCGCATCACGGATTTGTCCGTGCTCCGCGTGACATAGACGCAAGCACCATTGCCAGAGTCCACGTAAGATGCTCTCACAGGTCACAAACGCAGCACCAAGGCGGCCAGCACGTGCCTCGGCTTGGTTTTCCGCGCGCTGAGTACCAGGTACGGCACGGCCATGAAAACGTACTCGCGCACAATCATGGTTCCCGGTGAGCAGCCAGAAGGAGCAGGACCAAACAGATTCTTTACAATAATAAAGAAGGCTGTTTACATAGATCTTGGACAACATGTTTTGATCCGAGTGTTTTAAACTATCTACATTGGGTATATTACTCCTCCTCAAAGTCCTCCCCCGTAGCCTGATTACCGGAAGGACCGCTCTCATCACCGATGAGATCTGAGCAACTCTGGTCTTGAACGGAAGCTAGGACCTGATCCACAAAGGGGGCTGGGAGTGTGACGGATGCTTTGATTGTCGCCCATGTTCGCTTGCCATCGAAAACCTGTCGGTCATACCGGATGATCTTGTTGATGTATCTGCAAGTAAACCGAGTTTTTATCTGTTAGCCCTCATTCACAACATAGTGTAGAGATACAAACTTACAAAGCTGTATTGCTTTCGGGCCTTGCACGAAGATCCACAAGCGCCTTGTCCAAGAGCGTCCATTGGCAACGTCTTTTATTCTCAGTGTGATTGAGGTAGTTGTACGCTGTCACATATCGCTACAAGAATGAAAGACATTGTCAGTCTGATATTTGGGCTCCTAGAAAACCAGATTGCTTACCATGAAGATGATTCGCTTCACTGTGGGCCGGCCCAATTTCGGCAAGACCTCATTGTCCTCCAAAGGACGTACGCTTTCCAAAAACGTTCGGGCAACCTGAATCATTGAGAGTCAGCAAGGATCCCACGCGATTCTTTATAGATATGTATGTACCTGAATGACCATTGATTTGGCAGCAGGAACCTTGAGTAAACTACCCTCGCGAACTCCGAGAATGTTGGTGAGAAGCTATTTCCAAAATGAAAAAAAAGGTTATGAACTGATTGGTCAAAACTCAGTATCAAAGTTCCAAGGCGACTCACCGCAGAGCGCACCTTACTGCGCTGGTTCTTTAAATTGTCTTTAATAAACATGTACATTGCGGTGCCAGGAATACACGCCTCACCGGCGACATAATCGCCAGGACAATGAGCATCTACATATTCAGGCTTTAGACCCTTCAGATAGTTCTGTGGGCGATGGGTTAGTTAGTGAACAGTGACAATAAAAAGGTGTTCAAAAGAGTGTGAAGCAAATTTTCACTTACAAAAGTTAGAACCTCTAAACTCTGCAACATAGTAGTGTGATCTTCGGCAACGGTTTTGCTGAAGGCTTGAAGATCAGGGCGCAATATGAATTCGCCGATCTGATCTTTGAAAGTGTCCTTTGAACAATGTCGAAGAGGGAAATGGCGGAACGAGGTTGTTGGAAAAAGTAATTAAAAAGAAGTCGTAAAAAAAATCGTATGACTTACTCGGATCACCCGGCCAGCGATCCACTTCAAGCCTGTGGCCCCCGTTCTCCCTTCTGACACGCAAATACCAAGTATGACAGAGTTCCCAAATATTCTTCACCAGGCAGCGTGTTCTGACCGATCAGGAAGGAGATAACATAACTTGAATGCCTCCTCTAACCTCTAAGATCACAAAAATGGCAGATTAACAGATTGATCAGAAGCTGAGCGTGAACAAAAGGGGTTGTTGAGGAGAATGAAAGATTGGTCAGTTAAGGTAACAAACGGTGATACAACAAGAGAGAAAGTAACAATAAAGAACACAAATCACGGCGTAAAGAAGGTTTGTTCGGAGAACGGGACTGGCCCGGGTGGCTGTCTTCCATCGGGTCATCAGATCCAAAAATATCATCCATATCCATTGGTACAAGTGAGACGCGCTGAAAAAATGCTGAGAGAAGACAGACCAGACCGTTGTTGAGGTCAAGGGTCATCAAAGAGTTGGATTTTATGTTCGAGCCAGGACATGACCAATGAAGATATATGAGTAGTCGGGAATGGGATTCCGCAGGGTTAGTCTAGACATTGGAATGCATGGGTTAGCGCTAATACCGTCATATTGCGACACAGTGTATTTGGCACAGACGCTGGACTCACCGTGCCAACATCCCAGGCAAGATTGAAGAATGTGTGGTGTATGATGTTGTCGACTTTTGGAGGGAAGGGTGAGATGAGCATGACTGTTGAAGGCAGAAGTTGTTCAGAAATCGAAGAACTTCGTGAGCAAGGGGTGTTCATGACAGACATGTCATGAGGTGATCACACCTCACCACAGGGTGACATGTCACCAGATCCCACTGGCATTCTGTGGAAGGAGTGTGTGGAGCCCTGGCAGTGCAATTTCACAGGCGCCGTCAAAAGGTGTGACAGAGACTTTCAACGGACAAGAAAAGACCTCAAAACCATGTTCTTAAATCAGGTTTTGTTCATCACTTGCATCTACAAAGTGTTTGACCCATTCTACTGTTGGTTTAGGTACTACCAGACCATCAGGGAGATAGATGGACGTCTATTTGATGGTGTGCGTCCTTTGGTAAAAGTACTTCCGGAAGATAGGGCACTTTTCAAGGTTTTCCAGGGGATGGGGGCAAGTGTTTATTCCTACCGCCTGCCACAGTCAGAACCACAGGTTGTTGTGTCTACACAACAAGTGGTCAATTCTGCGTATGTTAATGTAAAATAATCAGAGAATTGATGAGTTGGAAAAACACTTGAAATAGTCCAACATTTGGTTGGCAATGAATCCTTTACATTGCCATGTCACCAGCCTGATCTTCTTCTTCTTGCATGGAATCATCAACATTTTCACCCACACCTTTGGGAGGACACCTCTCAAACCATGCTGACAGGCCTTTGGTGACAGAGTCCTTCCATTTGGCTGGGGTAACCTCGGACCAGACATGTTCGGTCACACCACGATGAAACTCGGAAGAATAGTGGGAGCCTGCATTAATGATGAAAGAGTTTAATGGCTCATGAGTAACCTCAGGCCTCTTGCTCTGCGCCGCAGTACGTTCGATTCGGAAAGCTCTGGTCTTGGTCACTGAACAGTTTGCGTCGTGGCAGTTGTGCTGCACATTGAGTACACATGACAGATTCTGTGGGTAAAACACTCATCAAATTCCAGTCACTATGGTAACTAAAAAAAACATACATCTGTGTTAATCCAAACATGCTGATTGGTTTCTTTGCATTCTCTCATACCATAAAACGGGTGGAGTCCGGTTGCCAACTTGATTTTTTTAACTTGAGTCAAAATAAAGTTGGATGACACTTGGTGCCAAATGTCAGTCACACGCCCAATCTTGATAGGCGAAGCTCCCTCCGGTTGAAAATCAATCTGGCGGTTACAATGGTCATAAGCTACGAAGGATTTCAGCGATGGGAAATTCAAACACGGAACACTGCTTACCAATAAAAAGGTGCCCTCAGCCACTTTGCGCGCATTTTCAAGGACAAACCGGTCGATTTTTCGCCAATCTGCATTCGGCCAACGGGTGAAAATTTCGTTGGGAGGCTGTTTGGGATGCTGGGTACCAGAATGTTTAGTTTTTTGATCTGAGGAGTAAGCGTATAATAAAGTCAAATTTTTGTGAAATGCAACCAAAGATAAAGCACCAGTATACACACATGTGACCTTGATTTTGCTTGAAAGTGAGGCGGAGACGGGTAGGTGGAGACCAACAGAGTGCCTAATCTCTTTTTCTTGGAAGAGCTCTTTGAAGAGTCTGGAAGCAGTTGCTCGCATTCCAAGCTTGGAATCATAGAAAGACCCGCCAGATATGAGCATCCTCACAAGTCTTTCGTTGTTTAAGGTGTTCGAGATATCCTTTCCAGGAGCATGATGGTTCGATTTCACCGATGCCTCTTGAGTGGGCCCGTTTTGTGCTTCCATTTTATCCGTTAGGAACAGAGGTGGCGGTCCAAAACGATCAACGGAATCAGGTAGGTGGGTGAGCATGTGAAATTTGGGTTTGTTGGTCCATTGCGCGGTTCGGCCGACCAGGTGTTTCAAGAATTGAGAGACTACCACCTTCAGATCAGAAATGTATTCTTCTTTGTTGAAAATACGAGTTTGAAATACGTAAGAAGCCAAATGAACCAATGCGATCCAACAGTGCCAATAGTCATCAGGAAGGTGTTCAAATAAAACAAATGGAGCAGCCTGCAAGACGACACAGAAGTCTTTTCCCAGCAGGCTCTTG